TCCACAGCCTCATTTTCTGTTCAATATGTAAACATGGATAATTGAATTCTAGTGTGCAAATAGCTATCTGCAGCTTTCTCAGTGAACTAATTGAATCACCCAAAAGGCTTTTTCACCATTAAACAGTAGCTGAGATTTATATTGTCCAAATTAAAAGATTTAAAGCAAGTTTTAAAAGCTTGAGCTTTCTGATTAAAATTAGCCCTGACATTGCATTTTGTGCCCCATGATCTCTTTAATTAAAATTTTGGGCTCTGAGGTCTCAGACTGTTTCAAAAGCCTGCGCTACAACAATCTATTTTTATCTCCCGAAATTTAAGAGCCTTCTGGGTTGGTTGCAGAATTTCACAGTGTGCAATTAGTGGATTAACAGACACTGTGGCCTCATCCTGTAAGAATCTTGAGTGTGCCTTTTTTTCCAAAAACACTTTGAAAGAAACAGGATGTGGGAGCATTGTGAGCTTGTGCGGTGGTTGTGGGAGGCTGATGCTGGATTTGGAAGATGTGGAGCATGGCTATGGAATCTTCGAGCATTGGATGCCGTTTTCGAATGAGTTGAGTTTTGGGAGATGGTGCAAGAAGACCAGGAGCTGGGGTCTGTATGATATGGGGGCATTAGTAGACAGGAGTGGAATTTGAAAGTTGAGAAGATGATTTATCAAGCACCAGAACAGAACACAAACGACAGCGCTGACTTAAACACAAAGCAGCAGAGACTTAGAAACAGACAGCGAACGGAACTTAGAAGCAAATGGAGATTTTGGGAACAAACAGAGAAAAAAAAACTCAGAACTGGACCTATTAATGCAAATAACAGACAGGGCCTCTAAACTGAGGAGAACAGACAGGACAGCAAGGTTTCTCTTTCCATTCCTTGTCTCAAAAACACATCAGATAATGATTGCTTGTAATTCCCGATTACCAATCCAGAAAAACAAAAAAGAAAGATTGTTCAACGACCTTCACACTCTGTACAAATGGAGACTTGGGGCAAAGTTAGCTCATAGTTGAAGAACAAATGTTAAATGCTGTTCCCAGTTTGGCTCATTCAGAACTGGGACCCTGGGCACGAGGCCAGCTCATGTCCAGAGGGGATAAAAAACCAAAATGGAACCTGTGTTTCTAACTGGGAATTTGCAGGCAGACTATCTGATGACTGAAGATAAGACTGAAGCCACTATGCTTAGGGATGAGGCCAGTGCAAAGCTGACAATGAAATTTGAGGTGCATTTATAAACTGCAGTGTCAGCTCAAGATTGTTCTACTGACAATGTCATTGCAGCGTTCAGGCAAAGCTGTCTCCTTTCACATTGAGATAACAAGGTGTAGAGCTGGATGAACACAGCAGGCCAAGCAGCATCAGAGGAGCAGGAAGGCTGACGTTTCGGGCCTAGACCCTTCTTCAGAAATGGGCCTT